GAATGGGGGGTTCCATGAGTTCTTCGGCAGTGGGTGATAATGTTGCTGGTGAGGCTAGTTCAACCTCCAGCACTGCTTTCACGGCTTCTTCTTTGAGCAGCTCCGGGTTGCTGAGGACGCTGGTTTCCGTGCCCAGCTTCCGCAATGCACCGAGTGCACCTGTTTATTCAAAAAAACAAACGTTGCTTGTGGGTTTTGGATATTTGGTTCAACTGCACAGAACATTTGACAAACCATGCTCGAATTTTAGTACTTGAGAGGAAACCAAATGTTCCCACCAATCTACTGATTTGAGCTTTCCCTATTTCCCCATTTTCACCCAATATCTGTTTTGCATTCTCCAGGCTGATTTCCTACAATTATGAATGTACAGTGTCATCTAACACAGTGCTCTGACAGGTTGTTTCATTTAATAAGTACAGTATTTTGTTTCCTGTTACAGATGGTAACGCCTGCAAAATTATCCAGTAATTGAAAATATAATTTTAATTTCCCTGTGATTCATTTGGAAGTGCTGCTGAATACCAAGATGTACAGTATTTTTTTCTTCAAATACCATTTTTTACAGCTTTGCTCAAAATGCTAAACTGGGGGCAGCTTTAATGCTAGGACACTTTCAACCACCTTTTTGAACATCTTTTCAAGGATGTCAATAACAATGGGATCCTCAATAATGTCTTGTACTTTCATTGTATCTGTGTAACAAACTCCTCTGTGTCCATATCCCTAGACTGTTTCAACTTGAAACGTTAAGTTAAAATAATTAAAAACTCAAGCACATTCAAATATGTTATGAAGATGTCTGATTTTATTATTTTAGATTCACTAACATTGCAAAAGAAATTGAAAATTTCCCACGCAGAGAAAGTAGTGTTGGCATTTCTTTTTGGAACATTGATGAGGTTTGTACAAACTTCTTTGAGTTCATACCAGGCCTGATGAAGATTTCAATATTTTACTGTTGACTCTTATTGTTTGGAACCTGGTGGGAAAAACCTTTCTTTAATGCGCCTTTAATGAAAAGATGGCCATAAGTCATTATCCAAAGTAATTACTGAGCTCCTCTGCAGGAAAGCTGTCTCCATGACAAATCGTTGTTTGTCTCTTAGTTTGTTTGCATGAATGATGAAGTGCTTGCCATAAAAAATAATTAAATATGAAACCCTAATTTCCTCATGGAGCAGGTCTTGTTTCTGGCTAAGGACAATTTTTTTCTTGATGAACCATCAGTGCAAGAAGGAAAAAACCACATAGCAATAATGACTTCTTGCATGGCTCACTTTGATTTTTTCAGATATTTTTGTGCATCTATTTTTGCCACTGACCTGATCGCATGGCAACTAGGTTACAATGCTTCTCAGCCCATTCCATTGTCCTGGCGCTCAGGTTATTCGACGTTGCGTTGGTAACGCTTTCGTTGAAGGTCTTGGCCATGTGTTCCCCGACAATTTTAGAGAACATCCAGAATTTCCAGCTTTTCAGGGTTTGCTGTTTCACATGGTCCTTGTAGTAGTCGCGTACCTTGTTTGTCTTATACTGGGAAATGGGTGCTCCTGTGGCAGGAAGCTGACTCTGGAAAGAGCTGATGAAAAATCGAAGTCTTGAAATATTGCAGCTCGTATGTAAAATGGTTGAACCAATTCTTGGACAGGAATAATGTACAGTACTTTATGTCAAAAGCTGTTTCGAGTGAACAGCTGTATTTAGGCACAAAATATTGAAAGCTTATTTCAGATGGTCTCGAATTATTTGTTCTTTAATCTCAAATTCTTAATCTTATCTTGGTAAGTTTTTAAAAATTGGAAGCAATTAAACATTGAATTAATGAAGGTCCAATTCTAGTCAACTTCAAATTGTGAAGTTTTATCTTCAAACTTTCATTCACAAAAATGGGGTGAGTACTGTATCTAACAAGATTGAATTTTATGTAAAAATCTGTGGCTGGAAAATCGGGTGAAGTTTTTTCCTTTTTTTAAATGTTCTGTGTCTTGTCAGACAGAGCCTCTCATAAAAAGGAGCACAAAACGTTTATACTCAAAATGATGAACACACTTTTATACACTTTCCTCGAAAATAAGTCACAGGAGCTTTATTCTGTTATTTATGCGAGGCAAATTGAACAAGTAACAAAATTACTGTTAAACAAATACGTTAATGATCCTTACAGATTATTAATGACGTTATTAGCCGGTTAATGACATTTAGGAAAGGAATTTTAAAAATTAAAATTGTAAAAAGTCAAGAATTCCCCACGCTATCTATACTCACTCAATTTCTCCAGTCAAAGATTCAATTTGAGATTTCAAGGATCGAATTTCTTCCGCGTATGCGTCCGTTTGAGACTTGAGCGTTTTCAGGTGTTCTGCGGCTGCCTCGAGACTTCTTGCTTTTGAAATCCTGGGGTTGTTTGTCTGGTTCAAAGCCGGGATGAGCCTTTGCAGGGCCTCGAAGTCTTCGTTATGTTCCATTCGTTTCTTGTGCTCGGCTTCATTGGTGCTATTGGTTCTTTTGCGTCCGGGTGATGGAGTCTGTCGTTGATCAGATGATGCTCCGTATGACGCGGTTGGTAACACTGCGTCAGCGCAGTCTTGCAACGTTTGCAAGGTCTGAGAAAAGTAGTTCAAAAAGTCAATAATTTATTTGATTAATAGTGTTGTTCCTGGATGAGGCGTTTTTTTTTACTTTGAATGGTGGGCAGAAATTAGTCAAGTTTCACAAATAGTTGACGTGCATATGAAGAAATAATTTTCTTTACATAACTTCATTCAGTACCTTTTGCAATTTCCCCCAAGGTCTATAGAAGTGGGTGTACATCATACTTGAATACTTTACAGTATTCAGCTAACAAACTTGGCTCAGGAACACATAAGTTCATAAGCCAAGACCCCACTGAACAAAATTGTTCTGCAAAATTTTCAAAATTTTGAACAGTAAAATATTTGCAAATCGAACTCAATTGAAATATCTTTTAATTGAAAATGAAGAGGCAATTTCAAATGTACAAATTTTGAATTTAATCATTTTCAGAGGAAATTGATGCTGAGGTGCACATCTTTATGTAACAATATATTTCAACTTGATTTTTGAGCTCAAAAAAGGAAGAGGTGTGTCAAGAATGTTATTCAACTGTTCAATAATGGTTGAGAATAACATTACTACTGTTTTTGTTCAACTCTGCTTGCTCATGAGAATGATTCATTCCAGGATTTGCAACTTTTAAAGCAAGCAAAATTGTTTGACCTGTGAAGGAGGAGAGTAACTGGTTCTCTGAGGTCTTTGTGCCAATGACTGCGCAACAAGACAACTTCTTGGTGATGTGCTTTTATTTTTCAAGGCCTTCCTGGTCTGAACCTGATGATGACTCAAGTCATGGACAGGTTCATGACTTCCCCATTGACTCCGCGGTCTTGTATCAAATGTTTGAGAAGGAATATTGCACCAGTGCATTTCCTGTTGCTGCACTCTTTCGGGAGGGTATTGCAGGAAAGACAAGGGAACAGCCCTGCCACTTGATGTCTCTTGTTGTTGTATTTGTTGCTGCTGCCATGGTTGAGGGTTTCCCTGCAGATATGAAGTGAATGGATTTCATATTTAGAACCGTTCCAGAAAATTGTTTTATCCAAGGACTTCCGTGTTGCATTTCATTGGTGAAAACCCAACTGCCCCTAAACTGTGGACAAACAAAAACAAAGTCTACCTGCAAGAGAAAATCCAGTGCAGTGTTAAACCTGGAAAAGAAAGCACCTGTGGGGCCAAAGTTCGGTTACCAGGGAAACGGAAATTGCGGTCAAAGTCTTTTAGAGATAAGGCTGAGCAAATTCCCTCATCATGATGATAAAAATTCCCCGTCGCCCTGGTACCAGTCGGTGGCGTGTTCCTGGCTCGGGTCAAGGACCCCCCAACCAGAAGCACGCCACGTTTTGGAGCAGGGCGCTGGTGGTCTCTCATCGTCTCTCTCTCTCTCCCCAGATGGACTCGGCCGCCGCCATGTCACTTACCGGCGCTGGGCTCTTTCCGCTGGTCCTGACTAGAGCACTCCTGTTGATCGGTCCTCATTAATTTTCTGGGTTCCCTGTTTCTGAAGGGGGACGTTGATTGGCTAGAAGGACGGCTTGGTCAAGTTTTCTCTCTTGGTGATTAAAATCAGGTCAAACTGGATTCTGAAGCAATGTTTGAGAATCTTATCAGTTCCAACTGACAATATGTATAGTCCTCCATATCAATCACACTCTTTTAATAATCCTCTGACCTATTCTCCTGTACTGTATTTACCCAAGTATACCAGGCACCCTCAAGTATAACACAAATCACTAGGATTTTTCAGCGTACAATTTCGATAATTTTGCATTCCATTCCTGATGAGTATATATGCGTGTCCTACTTTTAGTGACAATAGAACTGCAATATTTTGAAAATAAGAACACCCTAATTTGAATTCCAACGTAAATTGAACCCGAATTCAGAAAATATAAATAATTTCCATTAGAATAAGTGTTCCTACTGTTATTAACGTTCCAAAATTGTGCATTACAATCTAGTCCAAGTCGACTGTCACTCTACATAACTCCTGTCTAATAGAACAATTTTATCTGTACTGCACAGTATGAACAATGTTTATTTGGTCCCATATAAGGGCTCTCTCACTGTGTCATATGGGTTCTTAGCAGCAAAATTCTTTCAACGAGAACTTTTTCTGAACCCTCGAATTTTGTCCCAGAGAGGGTCCACTTCATACTTATAATGCCCACCTGCACTTCTAAATGTTTATTTATTATTTCTACTGCATATCTGCCTAATTTTTTGCGCCGAAAAAAAAGTACACATGGTACTTGAGTAAATACAGTATATTTTCTTCTGAGCGGAACAAAAGTTCGAAGAATCCATCCGAAATTTATTTTCTGCTTTTCTCATGGTAAGTATAATTTTATGTCATTCAACATTTCTACGTAAGAGTGTTGATGATTTAATTTGCCGAAGGATGGCGACTCGGGAAAATCGAATTCAGTCACATTCAGTCCAACTGTTTCGCTCAATTGTCTCTTGGAATATTTTCTTCAGTTCGAGATTACTCACGCTTGAACTATGTTTCTGAAATTTAGATCAAGACCAATGGAAATAATGGAATTCAGCTGTAAGCACTTGAAATGTTCAGAGCGATTTAATTTTTGGAGAAACGCATTTTTACACTTAGCCTAGCTGTTGCACTTGGAAACACGGCCAGTGATTTTTCCATCACTGAATCTAAAGAATAAATTCTTCCAAGGTAGAATTCTTTCGAAAATCATAATTGTTACTGTGTTCTGAGAAATATTACGTATTGGATCAGAAGGAGACTGAATTGAATTTCCCATTTTAAAAAACCTGTCATTGATATTAATCCACACTATTAACGCCATGCAATCGCATTTTGGCGTAAAATGGCTGAATTCCGAAAAGTTTCCGTTCTAGATGCTAACACTGTTGAACTCGAAAGCTGGGGGGATCTACTCTCAGTAAGTTCACAGCCAAGAAATGTGATTGGCGCTAATATTTTGTTTTGGATCGTCCATAAATTCAATTCCTAATCGAGTGAGTGAAACATTTCAACGATTGAATCTACTGATGCGAACCCTCCAACGAAAAAAGGCTATTTACCACTTGATTGAAGGGATTAGCCATGGAATCGTTCGGGTGCCACGAGCGGAAAAAGTCACTGATGTTCGATCCGGGACGTTGCTGAGGCCAACAACAGTCAGCGGGTCGTTGAGTCAACAAAGAGGTCGTCGCCATGATCGGCAATAAACCCGGTTCTGTACGAATCCCCACACTCCAAATAACTATCTTCGCGAAGCCGATATAGAATCTGGGGATGGGTTATACGGACACGGTTTTATCGGAGTAAAGCGTAGGACTGCGCTTGCGTGACGTCAAACGTTCGACAAAATGTCCGCCGAGTGCGAGCGCGCGGGTGCAGAGGTTTGAGTGCGGTTAACGACTGTTCCTGAGGACAGAGGATGTCGTGCATGGGGGAATAGAATTGTCGTTGAGCTCCTCCTCCGCGATTGTTGATAAGGACGACTTCCTTCGAACCCGAAGGCCTGATGGTGCATGAGAGATATGAAAGGTTACCCACTTGCATGTATGTCTGATCTACCGAGTGTTGACGTGATGGAAAAAGGTGAATTTTTGTGTTTAACTCTGTATTTTTGTGCCGTGAAATTTCTTCTCGCGACCGCTCTGTCCTGAGGATCTTTCCCGCGACTTCACCAGCATAATCGTGAATGAGTTTTTACGAGTAAAGTGATGGGGACCTTCGGAGCTATACAGTATCTCCAATTTGAATCACCCTGTTCCCTTTTGTGGGATCACCCCATCCGTACCTTTTTTATTTATTCCTTATTTTTATCCTTAGTTCTGTCGTCCGGCCCAGGTATACGCCCATCTCAGACACTATAGGTGATAGCTTATCTCCTGCCATCAGCAATACACTCAGCCTTACTGCATTATATTTACAGTATTTGATGGGGAGATGAATGAGTGACTAAGGCATTTGTATATGCGATGTGAGACGATTGTAAAGGATTCGATTTAAATGTTTGTTTTTGTGTGGTGTGTTATAGGGATTTAAGGGCGAGGAACCAGCAGTGCTGGTGCCCTGGTATGAATACAGTACTGTATAGTGCAGCGTTTATGCATATTATTTTTCTGGCCGACATCCAACGCATAAATAATGCTCAAAATAACACGATGCTGTACAGTTGAATGTCGGCCAGATGTCGCGCGAATCGAAGCATACAGTACTGAACTTGCCTAGCGTAATACTAAATTATTCAAGTCTTGATGAGCTAATGTCACTGCTTGTTTCGTGAGGCTTGTGCACGGTTTAACTTGGTTGGTGGTTTATCAAAAAGCCGAAATAACAAGAAAATCTAGTGCAATATAAAATGAAATTCTTTTTCTTATAAAAATAAGCGAAATAGCTATGGGATATGTACAAGTGAATTTTATATCTTGCGAACATTCCCATGAAGTAAATAATGTTATCTTCGTGAGTTCGTGTTCTTTTTCTTTTAGTAAGTGGAGATCTCTCCACTTTCTATTTACCGAAGAAAAAATTAAACTGGCAGGAGAACTTTTGAGCTTTTGGTAATTTGGGAGATGCCGTTTTTAACTGGAATTCCAATGTTATTATCATTAGGGAATGTTCGTTTTTCCGAAACAAAAAATTGGTGGTTGCCATCAAGGTTGGTGATTTTTTGGGGGCTTATTAACAAAGAGTGACAGTATCATGACAATGCCACAAGGTTTAGACTGACGCCAAACTTATGGGCCTACATTTGATGCTGAAATGATAACTTTGTGGAAGTGAAAATTGAGATGAAATTAAAATGACATTGTGGCTATTATAGGCAGGGACCTGAGAGAGGTTCTTCGTAAATAAATTTGCTGCGACGAAATTCTACTGTATACGTGGTAATTCTCTTCTTCAATATTTCACTTTTTTTTACAGCTCCCTTAGTTCCAGCTCAAGTGCTCAACGTGTTAGTTCTCGTTATGTTGTTTATTGGAAATTCATTTTTCCATTGTAAAAACATTCACTTTAATGGATGCGTGTTGACGTACAGTATTTAATGAAGCATTCGAGGAAGAATACCAACATGATTCATAACTTGTTTGCGGAAGGTGATTTTTTCGTGAGGTATTCGTTAGAGATACACTGTTTGAAAGATGAATGCAATTGATCGTAGAATCTCATCCCTTTCGGTATTTTTGGTTTATTATCAGCTCAGGATAACACAAGAAAGGAATTTTTTCTGAATGAGGGAAAGCGACAATTCCCCTGGTCAACTTTTCAGGTCAACGTAACAAAATATGCGCATATTCCAGGCGCTGGTAACAATCATTACTTTTTTTGTTTTGTCCACAGGAATACTTTTCGTTGCTGTGTTGAAAAAGGAAAATACTGTTCTGCGGCGAGTTGGTTTCATTTTCCCGATGATGAGCTGCTGTATGGTTTGCGTCCGGAAGATGATGAGCTCCCTCCGGAAGAACTGCTGTGCTTCTTCTTCTTCTTGGGTGTCTTGTGGTAATGGTAGTGATGATGCGTGTGTTTTACCTTCTTAACCTTCTTCTTTTTCTTCTTCTTCTTCTTTTTCTTTTTCTTCTTCTTGCATTTCCCGCACTTCCCGCTGGAACTGCTACTGGAGGATGAAGACGACGAGCTGAAACGGAATCGTGAGTGATTTTATTATTGATGATGGCATTTTTTTTGCTGTTGTGTGTGATTTGAAAGTGAGTTTATATAGTTAATCGCCGGGATAACTTCGAAAGTGTTCCGCCATTTTCCCCCCCTGTGTGCGCGAAATTTAGGACACGAAAGTACTGTTTGGGTAATTTTACTGTACCGTCTTGATTCAACTTGAGATGCTCCATTCCTCCCATACGTTCGTTTGACTTTTCGCCTATGCCGCTAAACATCGCATTAGTGCCATCATTTGTCCTGGCATATTTTGTAAAAAATTAATAAATAAATTGAGAGTATTGTTTGAGAGTAGGGTTTAGTTAAGGGGTATACTGAAAGCAAAATAAGCTTTTTGACATACAGTAATTGTTAGGTCTCTAAGTCTGTTTTATAAAAGAGAAAACAACAAGGAATAATTCGATTGTTTGAAGTCACTGTTTTTATACTATTTTTTAATGTAGTTGATAAGGCAGACTATATCAGAGTTTTACACAGATTTTGTCCAGAATGAAAGAGCAGAATTGTTTTGTAAATTATTTGTTTGAATATGAGTTTCATCAGGTTCCATGATGCAGGAATCACCAATGTTTCCTGGAACAGTCCCTGTTTATTTTAATAATATCAAACAAAGAAAGGTTTCTGGCAACTAATGAAGATGTTTTTAAACAATGACAATTTTGAAATGAAATGTTCAAAATCACAGTTGAACGTCTGTAAGTCAAATTTCTGGGGACCAGGAAAAACATTTGACTTAGGGAGGCTTCGATTTTTGAAGGTTTCCAGTTGAGGAAACAAACACTTTTTTTGTTAGGAGAAGTAAAAAAGTGTGGGAAATTGTAAATGAGGATATTCTGGGCCAAAACTTGCTCCTTAATGAGTTCACACCTTGCTGAACTTGGAGGCAGGGGTTCATTTGCTCTATTTGTCTTTCACTTCCTTTCAAGATACATCAAATCATTTGTTTTACTGATTTTCTCTTTCATATTTCAAGGAATTAATAACCAGAAGGCCTCAGAAAATTTGACTTACCAGGTTTTAAAGAAAAAGACTTTGAGTTAGGGAGGAGGTTTTTAATGCACTGATCTTAAGGGAATTCAGACAGGGATTTGACAAAAATTTGACTTAGCAAGGTTTCACTTATTGAGGTTCACCTGCATGCATCTTGAGTTTTGATGGGCATGTGATTCTCAGCTATTACTCAAGGACATGTTGTAAAGAAGGCCCTATTTTCTCTGTTGTTGGCTCATTTTTCATCCAGAACAAGGATTCTTTGTGACACAATGAATTGGCACTAATTCAGGTATATTTCTTGAGAACACAATTGAGGAAGATTTATTTTTCCAGGGAAAATTGTAGCATTATGCAAGGGTGGCACTAAATGGAGCATTGACTATTCTTGGGTTATTTTACTGAAGAAGACAAGAGAGTTGAGAATGTGTGATTCCATTTTTTGCGTTTTGAATGTATGAAAAATTACTCGAGGGATATAATTGCACCAAATCTGACAACCTTGTGCTGTCCGAGATTGTTGCTTTTGTGTGTTCAAGTGTTATTGAGATTTATTGCTGTAAAATTTCGGCTGATCAGTTAAAATCAATTTGCGTTGACGAAATTCAGTTTCAGAGAATGAAGCTAAGGTTGTTTCGAATTTTAATTTTTTTTACCCGAATGCCAAGATCCGAACGGAGTTTATTTTCATCCATTTTCATGAGATGCTCAAATTTTAGAGGAAAAAAGTTGAGCAGCACCGAAGTGAGTTTAATAATTTTTCGAGTTAATAGTTTGAAAAAAAAAAACGTGTTAACTTCGTCCGTGGCGAATTTTGCAATGAAATGCATTGTTTCATACATATATAAGAAACGGGAGATGCGACAAAGCAAAACATTGCCGCGAATATACATACCATTTCTTTTTCTTCTTCTTTCCCCAAGGCATGGGACTGGGAACTGCCTGAGCAGGGATCATCAGGTGACTCCAAACCGCGAACACGGAGCAGATCGCTGTTGGAGTCATCATCAGGGAACTTCCGCCTGGTCTGGAAGTCGTCAAGGATTGGCTGGGGTACGGTGTCGAATTCCATGGTGTGTGTGACAGGATGTCTAAGACCTCTGGGCTGAACACTGCTCCCAATGTGGCCAACTGTAGCCAGGACTGGAAAAATGAAGGTGAGAGAGCGACATCTTTTTGAGATTCTGGTCTGTGATGAACTGTTTTTTTTTTTTTGTGTAAAGCAGTGTTCCCCAACCTTTTTGGGCAATCGGACCAGAAAATTCCCACAAAAATTTCTCCAGAATGGCAAAGTTGCATACATTTTTTGCAGACTTTCCAAAGTTTGCTTGATTGGTATTGGGCAGGTAGATACAAGAAAAATTCAGTCAAGAATTTCATCAAACAATGGGAATGATGGGCTTGAAGAAAGGTTTCTCAGAATGAAAAATTAAGGTACGGTATTTACTCAAGTACCACGCGCCCTCAGGGGCACAGGGGTTTTTCAGTTGAAAATTTTTCAAAAATCTTATCCCTGAGTAATATGCGCACCCCAATTTTTAGTGAATCTACAACCATAAAATTTCAAAAATGAAAATAAAAAATTTGACTTTAGGCATGAATTGAACAAAAATCTGATAAATTTTCAACTTTTTCAATGCAATGTGGTACTCCAGTGAATACGGTAATTTATTTCAGCAGGTGAAAATTT